TAGATGAAAAGTAGGTGCAGTTGGGGGAAAGGGCTGTGGAATCAGCAGGGATGTTGGCTATTTTTATGACTGAATGATTTTTAAAACCATTTTCAAATGGAGACACATGTTTTTAAAAAGCTTTTTTTTTTTTTTTTAAACCTTATGGTCCACATACTTAGATGAGAACCAGTACTGTTTTGGCATGGAAAATAAAAGAATAAACTTCTTTCATTTGATACTTGCTGTGAAATAAAGATATACTAAGTTCCTAAAGATGAAAATTTGTCACTCTGTTGTACCGGCTGCCATCTTAGATCCATAGCAAGTTTTTCCATTGGATTTATTCACATATTTTACCTCTTAAATAAGCAAAGCCTGGTTTTACATCATTCATATAATATATGTGTGTGTGTGTATGTGTATATAATATATATTGTTGTTACTGCCCCTTCTGCTTTAATTCGGCATTATATATATAAATATATATATATATATATATATACACACACACACAATTATATATATACATACATATATATGTATGTATGTGTATATATATGTGTGTGTGTGTGTATCTCACAGATAGAAAGTGGGAGGAGAAAGGTTGGGGAGGCATAGGGATATAATAGGAGTAAAAGAGATACAAAATGTGTTTGTTGCCATCAAAAAATGATAATCTCTATAATGGATTCTTCCCCATGAAAAAGTCTGACAACCAAGCCTATGTGACTCAGAAACTCATGAAGCCTTAATGGAAGATGCCTTCACTGTTCTTGAATCATTTGCATTCCTCAGTAACATAAGGCTCTTTTGAGTACAACCATATGCAGCTGGAAAGGAACTGACTTGCTATCACTTTATGAAGTTGGACTTCATATGAGCAATATATGTAAAGGCCATGAACTTCAAAAGAGGTTTCCTCCCTTATTAAGGTGTCTTCTCCCTCATGGCAAGATTCATAGTTAATATTTTAAATAACAACTGGAGAAGAATGATTCCTCAGCAGGGGCAACAGGCAAGAGGGTTGATTATCTATGCTTRTTGGTCACCAAATCCAATTTGACCTGAGACACAAAAGTCATAGCTTCTGTGGACATGTTAGTCTCTTTATCTGAAATCAGAGACTTTGGTGTTTATCTAGCTTGGTCTTTATCTTCAGGAGTCAATCCAAGTTTCTAGAAGTAATCATAACAACCCTCCTTTGTTTATAATAACTGGGTGCAGTGGTGACATGATGTAAGCAGAAGAAAAAACAAAAGCCAAAGTGTGGATGATTTATATATATGAACCACACACTTACCTTCTTAATCATTATGACACTTTGATGCTAAAATTAGTTTTCATTACCTAACCAATACTGGCTAGTAACAAAGGGATCTACTTTAGGATAAAAAGCACAGAAAATGTCACTTCAAGACATGTTGTCTAAGTTTGAATCTAGATACTGTGCCTTCTCTTGTTCTTTTATTCTTCCCTCCCAACCCAGTAACTGCTAGTGATTCCTACAGAAGCATTTGCAAGTGAAGTCTGAAAAGTAAAGACATGTAGAGAAGTCCAGTTGTCAGATATCAAGCCAGTTCTCTGCATCCTGTTACATGCTTGTTTTCACTTCCAAGAAAACAGTGTCAAAATGGACTTTCAGACCAGAGACTGGTAAGAAGTGAGAGGGAGACAGCAAGAAGGCTCAGCAAGTCTGAGAATAGCTCAGTGTATCTGCTAAGGTGACTGTTGGTGTCCATGTTTTCTCAGCCATTTCAGAGCTATGTCTGCTTCCTTCACTGCTGCCACTGAGCCACATCCTGAAAAAGCTTCACTTAATAATGAGTTTCACTTGTTTCTTGCTTGACACCTAGATATTCTTTTTGGTTTAGATATGTGTGTGTGTATACACACACATACACACACACACACACACACACACATACATACACACACACACAGGTGAGGTTCAGGGTGTGGACATTATGTTTGGGGCAATGTCTCCCTCACTGCTTTTTTCCTGAGAAATCCTGTTTGTGTGTATCCATCTCTCTCAAGTGATGGGCATTTGTGTGCTCAAATTCACCCCATAATGGTTTCATTCTCTTATCCACAAAAGCAGTGTGAGCCAAAACTGCCCTATGATTTCTGGCATTTCCAGTGGAAAGGAAACAGAGGGGCCAAGTCATGGCAGAGCTTTCCCAGTTGGGCCTTAAACTACAAAAGCATCATGGTTTCCCTTCCTTCCCAATTACCAATCCTTCCCTGGTTCCTGTCCCCTTTCCTATCCAGAAGAGTTGACTAACCTTCCTCTCTTCATCATGGGAAAACACATCTTGCTCCACTGCAAGGGATAAAYAGCAGGTGCTGAGGGTCTGTGGAAACTGAGGCTTGCCAGGGTAGCTTGGCTGAATGGGTTCCTGAAGACCGGCATCTCCAACTGCTTCCTCACCCAGTGAAGGGGTGAGATAATCATGTCATGGACATTTTTATAGCATAGCACTAGTACGTTTACTAGGCCTCATTCCAAACAAATCAATCAAAACTTACATTTTCCCAAGATCCCAGGTGAATGAATTGCAGCCATGTGGAAGTTTGATAAGCATTATTCTAACTTGCTAGACCTAGGCTCTGCAAATTATAATTCATGGGTCAAATCTGGTCAGCTACCTGTTTTTGTAAGTCAAATTTTACTGGAACACAGCTACACTTATTTGTTTGTGAATTGTCAATGGCTGTCTGCACACTACAATGGAAGAGCTAAGTAATAGAGACCAGATAGCCATGAAGGCTGAAACATTTACTCTCTAGTCCCTTAAAGAAAAATTTTGCTAGCTTCTGCTTTCTTCTGTCATGCCCTTCTGCTGTGATGTTCTGCCTCACCGTGGCTTAGAGCTGTGGAGTCAGCCATCTGTGGAAGGAGACTTCAGAAACTGGAAGCCAAAATAAACTTTTCCTCCTCTAAAGCAAACTAACAAACAAACAAGTTTGCTAGCTCTTATGTTATAGACTTCTTAAAAATGAAAATTTGATTTTATTTTTCTCTGTAACATAAAAGACAGCTTAGTATAGTGTATTATAGTGGTTATGTATTTAGGATCAGAGGTGGACTGACAAGCTTTTTGTCTAGGCTAACCCATTTCCTTCCAATGGACTGTGAGGATAGCTTATCTTTTAGGGGCAGGTGGAGCATGGGTGGGATCTCTTATATAACATGAAATGCAAGCAAGTTTTATGGGATGGAAGTGTCAAAGATTCCTTAGAATTTACTGTTATAGGAATTTTATGGTGTGTCAGGTTATCGTCCACCAACTTTGTGCTGCATCTGAGCCAGAACCGATAGTGAATTTAAAGCAATCTAAGTCTGCAGATACACATGAGGGGAAAGTATGGGGAAAGAAGGGTAGGTATACATGAGGGGAAACTATGGGGAAAGAAGGCTACCCGTCTCCACCTCACCAAAGTAGAATGGTCTTCACTGAAAGAGTCACAGGATCAGCTTTAAAGTGTCCTGCCAGACCCCTGCAATTCCACAAGCTACCCTGTTGTGAAAGTCTAGGGTGGAAGATGCTTCCAGAACTTTAAAGTCAAGTTACTGTCATAATCAACTTTAAGGACAGAAGGGGTCACGAATGATTATCTCATTCATTTCCTTGCCCTTTGGCAAGAGTAGCATACCTAAGCCTTACCATTACATCATAACATAACTACGGTTAGGAGCCACCAAAGGAGGTAAAAAGTAACATGGTTTCACAGGTTAGGAGCCACCAAAGGAGGTAAAAAGTAACATGGTTTCACAACTTTTTTCTACGAACAACTTTAATTGTGTGCTCGTTACCTACTTCAAAGTCTACAAGAACCCCGATGTTGGTTCTTGATGCCCCACCCCATTCTAATTGGTCTAATTCTTAAAGACTCTTTTTCTCCCAGTAAGAAGATTTCATGGTTCAGTGAAAACAGGGTACAAAGAGGCAAGTGTGATGCTAAAGGGCTGAGGGGTTAGCCATGATCTCCTGGTGGCACCCTGGAAACTTTTTTTCACCAGATATTCATGCACACTGAATGAGCGGCACTTTCCTTGTAACTCCATATGGTCCCTTTTCTACCGGCAATTCCTTTGAACTGTTCCATCTCTCTAGTGGACACTACAATCTGCTGGAGAACCTGTCCTCATTGCTTGGTTCTTAAAGTCTAATTAGATGATTAAGGAGCAGAAAGTTGAAACTAATTCCTGCAAGTATGCTAATATTATCTCTTCAGAGTAAAAACTTTCTGCTAAAGATGTATGAAGGAAGAACTCTCTACTCTCTGGGTTTCTGGGCATCCCCAATCATGGAGCAAGTACTTTCCCTTCTCTTTGGAAACATTGAGGCTGAATATATATATAATTTCCCATGTGATTTTGTTGAAGACAGAAGGAAGGTCACAAATCCAATAACTCAATGGCTTTTGGGCAGGGGGTTGGGAGGAAAGCTAATAAATAAAATCTGTGTTGCAAATCCCTTTCAGGAAAGGGTGTGAACGGTGGGGGTGGATTTACCAGAAGTTCTGGCAGTTTGCTTTGAAACCTTCTGGAGAGGAAAAGTGTGGCCACCCAAGGGAGCAGCATTCACAGCACCCTCCATTAGGCTGCTGTGCTGGACAACAGSCAATGAGTGAGAAGTCCCTTAAGAAATATTTTCCTTCCCTCTTCTTTTAGAATTGTTAGGAAACTAGGTAGGACCAGGGAATCTGGCTTTCAAGAGTGGCCCTGAATGAATTTTTAGTTTCCAGGTGGGAACAGAGAGCTCAGAAGATTGTTTTCTCTTCCAAGGATATCTGGCTTTAGTTTTTTCTTATTCTTTCCAGATCTTGATCATGTGTGTTCATGGATTGGGCACATGTATGTACAGGATCAGATTTCTGGCAGTCTTAGGGAGGAGGGCAAAAGGAGAAGCAAAAGGGGCTCATTCCTCTACTTCACAGCTTCCTTCTCCAAAGTACACAGGATCTACCACGAGCAACAATACAAACACCACACACACACACAAAAGCCATGGACATGAATATGCATGCAATTGTACATATACATCCTTGTCACCTGCTACAAATGGAGTGGGACTCATAGGAGAATTGAGCCACTGAAACCTAGGCCTTGTAAGGTGATTCCTGAGGTCCAGGCATCCTGATTGGTCTCTGGGCTAAGTCTCCTTTCTTAATCTGTGAAGATCATGTGAATAACCCCTAGTTAAGAGGAGACTCCCATCCTCTTGGGGATGCCTGGGGTATCTGAGGCAGAAGTGTTTGAGGCAGATTCCTCATCAGATGCACTGAGATTCAAGAATTCTATGATGATGTCTCCAAGGCAGTAAATCAAATGTCTGAAACAAATGGATAAAAGAACTTAGAGAAGAATCTGGCTCAGTCAAGAAACATAAGATCCTATTTGTGACATTTATTTTAGCTTCCCCCTTCACCCGTTACTGATAACTTTAAACTGCAGCATTTTGATAAAGTGTCTCCCAAGATGTTTACTGAACTACTAATAAGTGTTTGTTGAATTACTAAAAGCTACAACCATAATAATGGCAATAACAGTACTTGAGACTAGATTTTATAAATTGCCACTTCTTTTTACAGTAGCACATAAGACTATTCTTAAGAACTATAAGGGAAAATCCCTGTGATATCACATTACTAACTACTGCTTCTTCTTAAGATTARTAACTACAGATTTACAGGCTACCTTATAGACAGTGAGACAAAGTCAGGACTCTTGAGGAGTGGCAGCTGAAAGACACAATCTCATCTATTTCATATTAAGCAGAGACAACCCCTAATCTCAACACTGGTCAAGTTTTGCAGTGAGGCTAGGATTCTATGTTAAAAATCTATAATTCTATGTTAAAAATTCTAAGGGGAGCACAGCTACTCATACGCCCTTGACTGAAGAATAGATTTCCTCTTAGAGAAGGTTATCCTCTTTACTAAGTGTCCAGCTTCTGGAAGAATGCACAGGGAGCAGTGATGAAGGAAGGGAATGCCTGCCTCACCAGCCAGATTGCCCAATCAACTCTGAAAATCAATGGGGTAATAGATGTAGTAGCCAGATTGCCCTCACATCCAACTATTATGTATAATTATAAAGCACCAATAAAAATTAATAAAAATCATATGTGGCTTATAATGCATAGGCCAAGGTATGTTCTTGCAGTGTAAACATGGCTGGCAGATGGTGGAAAGAACTGTTAAGCACACTGGACGAGCCTGGAACAGGGTTTTAGCAGCTCATATGGAGTTCTGTGCTGAGTTCTTCCAAATACAAATGGGGGCTGGTCCCATAGTCACTTACTACCATGAAATGACCTGCTCAGAAGTCTGGATTTTACTTAATGTGTATGGAACCTGGACGTAGACTTTGCAGTCAGGTCCATAGCAAGTCTAGAATTTCATTCTCAATGTGGGCTTTAGAAACCCTGCATACCTCTGGGACCACAAACAGCCTGTGTTGATACTGGGTACACATGTTTTAGCCTACCTGTTGATGAGTGGCTGCTGTAATGACTCCAAGACTAGACTCCAGCTCAACTGGCATTTGTTCACCCCTAGGATTTCTATTAAATAATCTAGTGTGAAAAAAAAAGATAGAATTTTTTGTTACTACTGAAGTCTTAGGGTCTAAGGAGATTGTCTCCCCAGGATCTCTGCCATCTTAAAAAGATTCAGTAATTTAGGCATATCTCTAAACCATGTAGTTAAACCAAAATTTCCTAAAGTCAAGAAAAATAAGTTTCTTCAGTTAGGTGCCTAAATAAAAATAGGCCTCAAGAAATAATTTTRTAACCTGCCACAAAAGAACAGGTATTACTTATGAGGTAATGGTTTAGGTTGGAGAAGAGATAAATAAGGGTAAATAAAACAGATTGTCTAGAGTTGCATTCACCAYTGTCATCTAGTTACCACAGCCACAGGTGACAAGCTGCCTTTCCTGCCCTTTAAAATAACATAAAGGAAGAAAAAGACTTTCTTGGGTTTTGTCTCTACTTACTATTAAGGGCTCAATTTATGAAGTCTAAGTTTTTGTAGGACATATCATGTTCTTCCCTGGTCCCAAGATGCCATGAATTGGCAGAAAACCAAGTTTTCATCTGGTGGGAAGGGCACAGCTTCCTTAGACCTGCCCAAGGATTATGAATCCAAATACCTACAGGATTCTCCCCTAATATTTAGGGTGTGGCCATAGTGATCCATTTCACTGTTTTGTTATCACCTAAGTGAGGACTAAAAGAATCCCAGCCATGACCATTTTCCTATTAGTTGGCAAAATGGGTGGGTAGGGGGATCAATAGGTTTTTGAGTCTAGCTATGTTCAGAGCTCTTCTGAAAATGGGGAAGGATGTGGGGCAATGGTGGCAAAGCAGGATGGGAGGAAAAGAGCTCTCAATATAATYAATCTCTTTATCCAATTACCTGGCAGGACTCCCATCAGGCTCTGCAAAGCTTGCTTCTCAGTAGCCACTTTCTGTTCCTGAGTCCTTACAGGCCGCGGAAACTTGGGAAGAACTCCACCAGGCCAGATGGACTCCCGAAGAAGCCGGAGGTACTGCACCCAGTGCTGTGGACATGTGAGATTAGCTACCTGCACTTCTAGCCACCTATGATACAAAATAAAAGAAATCTCAGATTAACCTGGGGAAAAAAATGGTGCAGCAAGACAATGAACTGGATGTTTATATCTCCCTCCTAGATTATAATATTGAAATCCTAACCCTCAATGAGATGGTATTAGGAGGTGAGGACTCTGTGAATCGATTAGGTCATGGAGGAAGAGCCCTCATGATGTGATTAATGCCCTTATAAAAGAGGCCCAAGAGATCATGTGAGGACACAGGGGAAGACGGCAGTCTACGAATCAGGAAGTGGGTCTTTGCAAGATATAAAATTTGTTAGTGCCTTGATCTTGAACTTTCCAGCCTTCAGAACTGTATTAAATATACTTAGTTGTTTATAAGCCACTCAGTTTATAGCATTTTTTACAGTATCCCCAGTGGATTAAAATAGAATAAGTCATGTGAACAATTAGAATAGGACAAAGCAAAGTCACAACCAATGCTCAAAATCAAAACCAAGCCAATTCAACAATGGGGATTAAGAATTTGAAGTTGAGTAACAATAATAGTGTTATTTACTGATTCACTCTGAGCCACATGTTGTACAAGGGTTTTATAGAACAAACACTAAAAGGGCCTCAATCTTGAGTTAAGGTTGCATCTAACCTTTCCAGTAGGAATCATTAGAACCTTCTAAGTAACCTGTACACACAGCCTTCAGAGTTAAGGGTTTCGTGATTTTCACACAACAAACCCTTAACCTTCTTTCTTGTCACCCTGGCATGTCCAGTTGGTCTTCAAGTCCCTATGACCTATTTTGAGGAGTTTCTATACCTGCCCTCTCCTCTCAAGTAACAGAAGTCTGCCACTTTAACACTCCTTGTTTAGCTGTACCTCCTCCAGGAAGAGGTGCTCTCTTCCTGCTGAGACCTCTTCTAGTCCTTAGTGCTGGATCACAAGTTTGGAGCTAATATTTTACTTTAGAGTATGAATGATTTCTCATTTGTTTATATCTTTGCTTCTTCAACTCAATTGTAAGTGGCACAAGAGTTCTGTGTCTCCTACTTCATAAAAATTTCCCAAAATATTTTATGCTCAAAAATGTATGTTAACTGACAACTGTTTTCAGCATAATAAATACTTCCCTTTTTTTTCTTCCATATACCAAATCCAAAGTTTAACTAAAAACCTGGAAGGTGTCTCAACATTATTTGTTCCTGTATTTTTTTTCAGAGTGACATAATCACTAGCTGAGGTTTAAGACTGTCAAGGTCTCCTTAGTAGACCTGGTTAGAGGCTGGCATAGCTAAGCTGGTCATGGATGGACCTTCTACCACTTCTATTCATGTCCAGAAGTCTGTTTGGGACCATACCACATGGCAGCTCACACCATTGCTCCTATACCCAAATTACTTGTAACACGTCCAAGAGCAGAGGGGGGTGCCAAGGCAAACTTTATTTAACCTCCACTCTGCCAGACAGTCTGCATTCCGCTCAAGCTGGGCATTCCAGTCCTGGGGGCTGCAATCCCCCAAGCCCAGGGCTCACAAATGATTCTAAGAATAGGAAGTCTGAAAGGTAATAGCAGGGCAGGAATGGCAGACATCGATGGAGATCAAGAGCGGCACAAAGCTGCTCTAACCCAAAATAGCCATCACGATCGTGTCTGTTATTATTAGGGCTGCATCTCCTTTTCACAGGGCTTTTCATTCAGCAAGCCTAAGCCTCCTGATGAGAGGGATCCAGTGGCAAGAATTCCTGTTCCTGTTTATAGAAGAGGGTCACCAGAGGGAGGAGGTTGTGATGACCTGATTAAGTTCTCTGCAGAGGATCAAGTGACCCAAGGACTCCCTTCTTCACCTCAAGCCACATACACTTCTGTGCCTTTCATGGAAGTGAACAATATGTACTAGGATGTCATCTAAGAGATCTATGAGACAGAGACAAAGTCTTGCTAATCAAAATCTTTGAGAAGCCTGGAGAATCAAAGAATAAGACACATTCAGACAGAATTAGTTCTAACTATACTTCATATTCACATATGCAAATAATAAGCCACTCTGCCAAAAATGCCTGTGATTCAAACTCTTCAAAGGTATCTCAGCATCTATCCATTCCTTCCTAGACTAAGCACATTATACAACAGCTAATCTGGGCATCAGTCATCTTTTGGGCATGCCTTACAAGATAGGAGCAGGATTCTTTTGAATTGGTATCACCTGGTGGGGACAGGACCTTGCACTGCATTATAGCAAGGATTTCCTTTTTATTCTCCTTCTATAGTGATTTGGCATCTTGTGCACATATGTTGAGTGCAAGATGAATTTTAGTATGTGGCAAAATGGTGAATTTATACAAATTTATAAGACAACTTATCAAACTCTAAGTGGGAATATTGGAAAGAAGCATCAAAGTCTGAAAAGGTAAAATCAAGCATCCAATGATAATGATGAATCAGTAAGTTAAATGAATTTGTGAGAGTTAACTGGGAGAACTAACCACAAAGAGAACTGAAACCTCCAAGTAAAATGCCAACTGCTAACAGAAGAAAGGCACTATCAAGGACTTCAAACTTGAAGCCCAGAGCTGGTCAACAGAAGGCCCTGAAAGTTGGCCCTAGGAATGTACGAAATAAGACTCACACAAACTGGCAGAAGTGAAACAAACTTTAGGTTTACAAAAGGTACAGAGGTTACAAAGTGGCTTCTGTTGACAAGGGGCTTCTGGGTGCCAGCTTTCCTTACTCTTTTCCATACCTTACAGACTACATGCTTGTACTACATGAGATTTAAACATTCACCCTCTTTCCAGAATTTTCTTGCCCAGGCCTTTTCTCCTCTTTCTTCTCCTCTCAGGAAGCAAAAACTTTCTCTGAGACATTGGGCTGAGTCCCAGGCAGCATGTGTAGAAGGCTAAGGGCAACAACTCTTTCTTGTGTACAAAATGCACAGCACTTATGAGGGCTGGTATATTATCCTGAAAACCAGACACTCCAGTCTAGAAAGAAAAACCACAAAGCCCAAACCAAGAAAATCACAACTACCTCWGCTCCTCATTTAATACAACTGCTAAAATTTGTGAGCCGTAACCACATATTTTATTATTACACATGATACTTTTCTAAAGTTATAAATGGCTAGATACAGGGATCTGTATAATTAGCCTTGTCTGACACCTAYATAGGACTGAATGCCAATAGGTGCTTGCTAACAACAAAGAGGGTAGAATCTCTTCTCTCGTGTCCATACCTGTATTWTATTCTATCGTTCTGCTCTAAAGTGAAGCACCATACATACCATCATTTCTTTATCTAACTTTATCAACTTCCTTAGTCCTATTGGGTTTGCTTAGAAATTGAGCAAGAGCAGAGAGAACAAACAGATTAGGCATAGGAGTGTTAGAAGAGAGACTGATCCCTTGACCCTTCCTTGTTACCTCCCTTCATCTTTCTAGTCCACACATTGTCTTTATATTTTTAGCATAGGAGTAGGAAGATAAAAAACAGATCTGTGTCCCTATAGCACTCTTAAAGCAAAAGGGATGAAACTGATGCACCACAGTAGCTTTTCAACATCAATTTCTGGAATCTGTTTGTATAGAAATCTAAAATTTCAAGGTGGATACACACATGTGTCCTTCCCACTGTTTATTATAAATTGGTTATAATAAGTCATTTACTAAATACAAATGTTGTTGTTTATGTAATTCAAGATGCATGAGGTAAATATGCTAAAATAAATATGGTAGATAATAACCTCAAATAGCATTGGTTTTATTTTCCATCACTATTCCAGTTCTGATATTTGATTTAGAGAGATATCTGTCATGCATTTTATCTTTATCCAAAGAAAAGAAGGGGAAAACCAGGTCTTTTATGTCAAGCCGTCTCTGAAAGACGTAGAGCATATGGCAGTCTTATTAGGGGGCCCAGAAATAACCAATAACATGTCAAAAAGCAACAGGCTGCCAAAGACATTTAAGAGTCTCTCTTATATCAGGCACAGAAGGAGGATGTGGAGGATGAAGGCTTGCTATCACACCAGGAATGCATGTCTCCTCCATGCTCAAGGAAAACTGGTCTGAAATAGCTATAGATAGAGGAATGAATGAACCAGTGGCTAAAAATGAGACAGTTTAACAGCAGGGCTTATGATAACACTTCAAGGTTAGCAGAAGGTCATTTTCCATCAAAATAGCAGAATCAAATTTCATAAGTAATGGGAGAACACTCTAAAGATGATGTCTAATCCAGTTAGCCAAATTTACTTTTCTTCTTTTCAAGTGTGCTGCCATGACTAAGTGAGGAAGGGACCTGGATAAATGGTTTAATAGGAAAGAGACTGGGAAAATAGTGAATCATAAAATAGAAAACCTATCAATAGTCAAAAAAATATCTGGTGCATTCTCAATGAAAGAAAATGACAAGTTCATTCCTGATGGCATATTTATTCACTGGGTTGAACCTCAGAGAAAACCCAAAGGTTGTTATGCTCAAACTTCATCCTAAGCTAACAACTACAATTTAAAGAAAAAGAGACAGAAAAGGATGAGGAGGTTAAAACTGATCTTGAATGGCTCCTTCTTGTGTTTATGGACAGCTTCTATTATTCCAAATAGACCTAGAGTAGATTACAAGTGTTGACTCATTTTATGATCCCTGTAACAGGGTTTTTGATCTTGGTACTATGGATGCTTTGAACTGCTAATTCTTTGTTGTGGAGTCAGGGGCTGTTCTATGCATTGTAAAATGTTTAGTGCACCCCTTCTCCTCTAGACTCCTAAGTAGATGCTAGCTGTGAAAGTCAAAAATATCTCCAGACATTGCWACGTGTCTCCTGAGAATGAAATGGCATCATCTGAGAATCACTGCCTTCAGTGTAGGGTCTTTTGGATCCATGTATCAGGGTACTCTTACAGACATTTTAAACTTTGTAGTTACACAACAATATTCCTCAAATTGTGGACATGATTGGAAGTTACTTGTGGCAATATTTTAAGAAATCGAAATACAAACAGATTAGAATAGAAAATATATGAGAATTACA